TCTCTCTATCGTCTTATAGTTCCCGTCTATGTTCTCTACCGAATCTTAACCATGACAGTAGTTTGGTTGACACGTAATGGTTGATTCGCTACCTCAATCACCTACGTTATATTTACCATGTTGCCTCCTCCAATTCCCTCCATCCTAATTAATCACTAATTATCTTAATCACAATATGACAAGTTACTTAAATTACCACCTTAATTACCCCGATTTATATCAGTAATTGGTTTAAATAACTTTCTATAATGAGGCAAGTTGAAGATGAAATTTATATCCAGCACCAAGTAGAAAAGGGCATAATATTTACCATATTTAAACTGTTCTCAGCCTCTTTCCTGTTAGGTTCAGGTCACTAGTCCTCAATATAATTAGTAGACTGAGAGGTTCAGTTAGTAATAAATGAGACATATTCCACAGGTACTCGCTAAGACATGTTTACCTTCCACTAATATCAACACTGGATGATACACTTTTACTATTTCAAAACCAAAACAATATATTCTAACTCTTATTAATTATTTCATGCATATTTTTTATGATTACAAATGAAAAAAATAAGACATATATACAAAGTAAATTTAATTGTTGTGTAGAATTTTACGCTCAAAAGCCTATAATTAGAAAGTGAGTTATGGTGTATACATCTTTTGAAAGCGAAGGAGTAACGAGACACTACGAGTATAATAATCATAGTATTGTTAAGATGAAAATAATGTGTATTTTTTCATCAGTTGAATACGAGTATTTTTATATACAGTTCTGTATTAAAATATATACATTCAGAAAAAAGGTTTTAATTACCACACTACCACACTTCAGACTAACACACCACCACATTATCACTATCACACCATCGTACCACCACACTACCACAACACCACACTAACATACAACCACAGTATCTCACCACCACACAACCACAGTACCACACTACCACACCACCACGTGTAAAGCGCATGATGAAGACTTTGTTCATCTTGCATACAGGGTGTTTGCGGTGAGGTCAACAGTGTGTCATCTCTTGCGGTGATGTGAGCTGACGTGTGTCCGTCCGTCCATTCCAGGTCACTGAGTTGTTGTTGTGAGTGTTGTTGAAGTTTGCTGTTTTTAATGCTGTTGTCGTTGTTGTTGCCATAACTACAATTATTACCCAGTTGTTAATACCGTTTGCCTCCACCATAAACGGCACCTCTACTGTTGATCTAACGGCATTACTGTTAATCTTCGTCGACTGCTGATTCTGCTCTTCCTATTAACAGAAACAAACTATTATTTTACATGAACACGAACTACTAGTATGTCCCTAGTAATATTTTAAAAATTATTTCACCCTTTGTAACTCCCCATAACAGTAGAGTAATTCCTGTGTCATTTTTGTATCGTAGCTTAAAGGAGACTGAAAATTAATGTAAATAAAGTTAACTGTACGAAACATTAATAATTGTGACTATTGACTTGTGAAATCTGGACGGGGAGGTTTGTGTTCGTTTTAATTTCTCTTGTCTGCTTCATATTATACTATAATGTCTATATAGTGACTGCCTTAAGGTGTGTTCAAAGATGTTTTTGTAGCGTTAAGGGTAGGATGTAAGGGCTAAGGTAGGCTAAAGAATATTAAAAAAAGGATACGAGTGTTGAAAGGATGGGAGAGTTAGGATAGCCTAGCAGTATCCCGCAAGTATATTTGGCCAGAGCGGTGTTGGCTTCCTTACGGCTGCCTGTGCGAATCTCTCTCTCTCTCTCTCTCTCTCTCTCTCTCTCTCTCATTGAACCAGCCAGATGCCCAGCTGGAGAAGACTCTCTCCCATCCTTCTGTGTTCTATGTTATGTTTGTCCGCTGTGCTAGAGAGAGTTAAGAGATTTACCACCAGGGAGGATGAGGGTTCAGTTACCGCCGCCAGAAGGTTAGTGACGCACGTCCTGCCATGGCTGACTTGTTACGCTGCAGTTAATCTCACTAAAGTCTCGGTGTCAGGCGTTTGTTTAATAGTTAAGCTGTTAATTAGAAGTTAGATGTCCATACTTACTAAAGTAAGAACTATTTATTAAGTGATATACAATGAAAACTAAAGAAATAACACATTTTTTAAAGTTTCAAGATCTGATGCACTGAAACCACTCGCTAATTGCTTCGCGACACATTATAAAATACGAATAAAACATCGTACAAGGCGATTTAATCCATTGTCTAACATCCATGAAGGATTGAATACTGTACTCGGTCCTGTTTGACGTGTTAATATAGTGGAGTGAGGTGTAGGAGGATGTAAAGAATAAGAAAGATATAAAACTCACTCTCAAGGACAGTGATGTGGGTGGTGGAGGCGAGCGGTAGTGACGGGCCATGATGTCCTGTTGGGTAGGGCAGTAGTGTCACGTTCACAGCAAGTGCAAGTCTGAAGGTGTATGTGTCAGTGTGTGTCTCTCCTAGTGTTGTTACTTCAAAAGGCGTATTACTCCCAAGGATATAACACATCTTACGTTGAACAGTACTGAACATAACGTAAATTAGTGTTAGCTCACAGTGATGGTAATAATTGAGTAGACAGTGTGGCTCTTTGTAGTGCCAGTAACCAAAACCTCACCAAGCACTCCATTTACCAGACAGCGGCACGTTATTACCGCCTCTCAAGCATTACGGTGTGTTTATCTAATGTACTGTATATATGCTATGTGTCACCCATTATCTTCCTCTTGACAACATTACGTAATGGTTGATATTCCCGCCTCTTGTTGTGACGTCCTCTTGTGACCATCGTTCTGATTGGTCAAGTTGAGTGAGTTACCGAGTGGTGCAGGGCGTTACTCATCCTTTAGCTACATGTATGGAATGTTGTGAGTGACCGAAGGACCTCAGTTACATGAGGAGTGTTGTGAGTTACCGAAGGACCTGTTACATGTGTGGAGTGTTTTGAGTGACCAAAGGACCTGAGTTAGAGGTGTGGGGTGTTGTGAGTGACCGAGGGGCCTGAGTTACATGTGTGGAGTGTTGTGAGTGACCAAAGGACCTGAGTTACGTGTGTGGAGTGTTGTGAGTGACCGAGGGGGTTGAGTTACGTTTGTGGAGTGACCGTCCCTCGCAGTTAAAGATATAAACATCAGCTGGCTGGTCAACTTTCAGCTGAAACACGTGACTACACTGAGACTCACACCTAACTACACTGAGACTCACACCTAACTACACTGAGACTCACACCTAACTACACTGAGACTCACACCTTAACTACACTGAGACTCACACCTAACTACACTGAGACTCACACCTAACTACACTGAGACTGACACCTAACTACACTGAGACTCACACCTAACTACACTGAGACTCACACCTAACTACACTGAGACTCACACCTAACTACACTGAGACTCACACCTTAACTACACTGAGACTCACACCTAACTACACTGGGACTCACACCTTAACTACACTGAGACTCAAACCTTAAATTCAGACGTTCACTCAGCACTAGTTAGGAGGTCAAATTAAAGGGTCTCTTGAAGGATAGGAACCCTAAGCTAACCTAACCTAACCTAAGTTATTCTAATCTAACCTAATACTTACCTGATCTAAACTAACCTAACCCTATCCCTCACCTTTTGGTATATTTAAAAGACTTTAGCCATATGTTCCAATCATTTAAGTTATTTTAAAAGAAAGTTCCAACATTTTATTAATATGTGTGAGTGTGGCGTTTGAGAACTACATTACGACATATACGTAATTAACATGTTCAAGCTTACAGTGTCTGAGTGAGTGTTGACGTTTCCAAGAAGTTAAAAACCTCAAGTTAAGTTACTCATTTATCCCACAACACTCTTTGTTTACGTTATCCGGTGACGTCACGGCTTACCATACACGGCCATCTTTGTTTCAACTGATGACGTCACGGCTTACTCTACACGACCATCTTAGTTTCATCTTAGTTCCAACTGCTGACGTCACTATCGCCCTTACGTTACGACACTATGATAGATTCTAAAACGATCGTAAATTAGTTTTCTTTTTTCTCTTAAGTTGTGAGGTGAGGGCGTGAGGAAACATCTACCTGTGCTGTACACCTGCCACCTGATAGAGGTTAAGGTGGCGTCCTAATGGTACTGAGATTGGCGGTGATACAGTGATACATTTATTATACACTTATAAGGACATATGTAATAATATACTAACTTTCTGTAATGACTGTAATCTGTTGTAATTGCTGTAACCTTTCTTAATATTGATTCTCTTCTCCACACACAGATTGTAACGGAGAGAAAACAGACAATAACAATATCCTGATGAAATAGCATATAGCCTGTGAAAATACCCAATATAGCCTGTGAAAATAGCCAATATAGTCTGTGAAATTAGCCAATATAATCTGTGAAAATAGCTAATATAATCTGTGAAAATAGCTAGAAAAATAGCCAGTATAGCCTGTGAAAATACCCAATAAAGATAAAAATAGCCAATATAGGCTATTAAATTAGCCATTATAGACAGAAAATTTGCCAATAGCAATAAATCCTGGGAAAATGACGATATACCCTGTGAAAATATAGACAAGGAATGTATCCTGATGCAAATTTCCTATTGAACGCTGGAGCCGATAGAAAAATTGCAGGAGGAAGCTAATTAGCTGTTGGTTGATAGCTGAAGGTCATCACAGGTCATCTAACACGTCATTAAGGTTGAAAAGGTTCACTAATACGTCATCCAGGTCACCTAAAGCCTCGCCCAGGTC